AAAGTGGCATATTCCCTTAAAGCCTTTAGTAGAGTCGAAGAGAGTGTCGGAGGCCAGATTTGACCCATTTATATACCACTCTCCCCCATTAAGATTACATGCAACAGACACCCAAGTTAAAATGGTCCCTATCTAACTCATAACAATTGTAATTTAAAATAAATGTTACAGTTAGTAACTACATTGAAATCTCTCAAATCATTACCTCAATGCTCCCAATAGTGACTTGGAACTCCATACGCCATCTACAAGTTACACAAAAGAACATGCGTATTAGTGTGTAGTAGGATGGCACGTGAGGACTGTCTTACCTTTAGCCACTCATCCTGAGGCAGTCACATGTTGTAAAAAATCGGCAAATTTGAACTGTGTTTCCTTTACTTCATATTTGGCTGTCTATAATCCTTCATTGTTTGAAATCCTCGAAGTGGAATTCCCTGAAATATATATTTTAGAATTGAAAAGAAAAGAAAAACTTCAGAGTGCTTAACCTTAGATCAGAATTGTTTAAAAACCGAAAGTACGCTTTCAGATTGACACCCATCAACCAGTGTATTTATGCATGAAGTCACGTAAAACAACACTTACATATGTCACTCTAGATGGCAGCACTCATAACAAATAATATAAAAGTGTAGCAGTCTTACCTCATTTCCTCTGCAGCCCACATTACTTCTATACAAATACACAAATATAAATACATAAGTTCCTGTACAACTGAGAACACCTGAAGAAAATTTAGATGGAAACAACCCAGTGAGATACTGGTTGAGCATGTAAACGTGTTTTTGGACCAGGTGGCTTCATGGCCAGAACTAATTTAACTCATAACCACATAAATTTCTCTAGAGCAACAGTGATAAGGCCAGTGCCAATATAGGTTGAATGCTGGGTAACAAAATCCCACAACCATCAGCAAATGGCTGGTAATTGTTAAGAAGAAAGAAGATATGTCAAAATAATGTAATGATTTTAGTTAGGGGAATGCAGTGATGTGAGTTGGTGCATTTCCATTACCCCAAACAAATGAATGTCTAGATTCCTTTGAGGGGCACTACTGGTTCAGCACTTCAGTCATTGCGTCTGGCTATTGATAAGAATAACTGGATATGAGAGAAGCCCTACGAGTGTTTGTAGTACTAACGTAGAGTTGTACAGAGAAGCTGTATTCTTGCAGCAATATCAATTGCAGTAGCATGAGAAAGTGTCCAATTAAGGAACGTTTTTATCCAAAAGCTAAGTCTGGTGTAAAATTAATGTCACAGTGACAAAGAAATATTAAACCAATGAAAATATCAATAATCAAAAATAAAGGAGTTTTGAAAAGCACAGCTAAAGAACTCACATCTAGCTTGGGTACTGGTTGAGATACAGCAGATCAAAGCATTACTTTCATATTGTGGTGAATGCAGCACTGAAGTATGTAACCAGCGAATAAGAGAAACAAGGGGAAGTGTAATAATGCTTGGAGACGGCTTGAATAGGTAATTAAGAAAAACTTGAATATAAGTTTAACATCACAGCAAATGTACAACGTTTTGACAAGGTTTTTTCATCATCAGGTACAAGTAGTTTACAAGGGGAAGTGTGATACCACTGTTACAACCTCTGCAGGTGTAGAATACATAGTGTAATACACCTGGAGGTACTAATACTTTTCAGGTAGGAGACGTCCTAAACATTGTAATAGGTATATGGGAACATTTTAGGGCATATTAAAGTCAATCCTTAGTAATGGTTCTACTGGCTGCATTAGTATAGGGATTTGTAAAGATTTTATAAACACCGTATGACATGTGCTGCTCAGAAGAAAGAACTGCAAGAGAATAATTCTGGATGTGTTTATTATCAATTCCAAAACAGATAGAGGATGTTGATATATGCCAGTGGTAACTGACTTATTTACAAAGTGAGCTGAAGTTATTCATTCTCTGGCAACTTAGCACAGTCTGTGACTGATAAGGTAGCTTGACAAAAGACATCTCGCTTCGTAATATCTGTACTAAGAAAAAACTTTAACAGTTTACTCTTTGTTGATAGGTGGCAAGTAGTAGATGTTGGGAAGATGCAATGTCATTTTTCATTTGATGTTTAGTTGAATGAGCTGTGCTGACTGTCAAGCAGGTATTTAATGAATTCGGAAGCTCAGTTAGGCTGATTGGTATGATCACCTACCACATGGAACTATAGTGTACAAGGTAACAAACAGCAGCTGACTGATCTTCAAAGTTGTTTATGTTTGAATGAAACATCATGCATTATAAATTGATATATTTCTACTGTAAATAGGATTGGTGATAATTCTTACCATGGTCGTTACAGCAGGTGTCAGAAGAAAAAAGTTAAAACCATGAAGCATGTGATATTACTTACCTGGTCAAGTTAAATGACACTTTATGTACGTGTATGCTAAACTGCTTAATCAAAGATTTCTATAGGATTCCAACACAACCAATTTCTAATTTTGAGCTACTGAGAAGACACCCACTATTACAAGGGCTTTGTCTAGCTCTCTAAAATAAATAACAGGATTGACTGTAATTCGTTTAAAGACTGACATAATTATTTTTATTAAAGCTCATATCAGAGATAAACAAACTATAGGCTGTCCTGCAAGATGGAGTAACTGGGAAACAGGATTAAGCCAAGCTCGTGTAAACTTGGTAAGAAGAGCCAGTTTACAGGTGAGGGTTGAACACACCTTTCCATGACTAGTTAAAAGTCTTTGGCTGGTGTAAGAAAAAAGTTATCTATATTTTGACACAGATTTATTTTGTGAAGCTATTCGGATGTTAGAGTACAACGAAATATGATATCACTAGATGACACACTATTTTGAAGCCTGAATGTTTGACCTATCAAAAGCACACACACACAAAAACACATCAGTACTGAGATGAAATATTAAACTATGAACGTACATTTTCACTGGTTGATGCTCTGCTCATTTGAATTATTTTTCTTTGTTAATCAAACATTAAAGTGTCATGCTTGTTTTTGTATTAATTTATGAGTCAAAAATATGTTGAGTTTGAAGCTTATTTTCCTTTAAGCTTAAATTCAGCTTACCTAAAGTTTTTCTACATTTTTTATTATGTACATTATTTAACTCTTTCTTTAAATCTACGATAAACAATTTTATATTTTTACAAACAATTTTGTTCTCTCTCTCCTTTATTTCATCACTCACACTTCTAATCTATTCTTGCTCGTTGGATCCATTATCGTTTTTTTTTTTTATCTAGCAACCCATTCTCCAGTCATTTTTATTTAAGAATACCATATGAATAGAATACATTAGCGTGCCCGTTATACAGGAAAGGAAAGATATGATTTCAAGTTTCCATGCTCCATGATTCTTCTTCTGATAGTTAGTAAATATACGACCTATCTTACACTTGTGGCACTGTTGCTGGTTCTGAGCATTTCGACACTACATAATGAGCAACTGGACTGATTTGTAGGCATCTTCCAAATCTAAAGCTACTACCAAGATTTTCTAACTGACTTCAAAGCATTTCCATGTATCAGTTGCAAATTTAGTAGTGTTAATACAGGTTTCTTTTGTACTGTGATTAGCACCTAATGATTATGATGATTGTAGTGGTTCACTATGGTTCACTACAGCCTTCTTTGGGATGTTTTCATCGATGTTTCGGAATATGATGTTTCATTGCCTTTAAGACGAGAATAGTATTTTATGGGTTTGGTTAAGAAGTTGGTAAATTTATTAGTCTATATTTCAGAGATGCTATCTGTTGTCCAGCTATGTTAATAATCTGACGATAATTTCAACAGCTTATTTCTGTAAACTTCATAAAGGTGGATATTCTTACATCATATAGACGTGGAGCTACATCTTAGATGTATTTATGGATCTTTCTACCATGTCCAAACTAAAGATAGCTACCATATCTGTAGGTAATTGTAGTTCAGCTAGGAATTTCTGTAGCATGAGCGTCTCCTGCATGTCACCAAGATTACACTGGTTAATGTACCTGTGTATAAAAGTATTGCAATAGTCTTTATCTTCGTCATTGAAAATAAGAGACATCACCATGTTTTGGTTCTTGAAGTTCTTGTAAGATTGGCCTTACTTCACTGTAGATTTCATTTAAAGTCTCGAGCTTTAGAAGTTCTATTCCATGTAAACATTGCTATTTCTGTATAGGCTGGATCATGCCTTATCTGTATGAACTCAGCCTAAGCTATACTACATGTTTTCTAGGCTTTATCAATATCATTGTTTTACTAGAATGTGATGTTTCTTTTGTTAATTGTTCATTACTAAGGCTATAAATCTCATTCAAATTTATATAAAATGAAATCTAATTCAATGACTTTCCTGCCATTCTTTCATATGCCAGCAAATTAAAAGCATGAAAGCTGTGAAGTTTTAAGTAGTTATTGAATACGTCCTATGCTTTATAATTGCCTCTAAGTAACGAGTGATTTGTTTAATAGAAAATATAATTGTCCTTGGCATCATTTAACTTTCAGTTGTTTACTTCGAACACTAGCTTACTGTAGAGTACTTTGTTCACCAAGAATGAGTAATTACTTCACAATGTAACTTTTTTAGGTATATGAAGTGAAGCCGATTACAATAGCAAACAACAAAACAGGTTTTAAGTAGTTTGCATGGTTTTCTTCTCTGGCATAATTTTTTATTCGAGATAGATCAATATTTTGTGTGTTTATTATGCTCCTGAATTCTATCTTTTGTTGGTATTTTTATTTCTCTTATGTACTAGAATCTAAATGCACAGGCACAATACTTTTTAAAAAATTTGGAAATTTAGAAAAAAATAACAGTAAATTAGCTAAAATAAGTAGTCCTTTCATTTTTCTCCAGAAATTTAAACAACATAATGTAATTTCTAAAGAACTTAAGATTAAATTTCCTATAAACACCACATGGTGTCAGACAAACTTAGAAACCTAGTAATGCCATACTCCAAAATATGGTTTAATATCACCATTTAAATAAACATAAGGTATCAAATAACATTAAGACAACATAAACCCTGTCAAGACAGGTAAAGCTGTTTAAACTTCTTATGATCACAAACAACACGTACACTATATACACGCCTAATCGTTCTTCAATAAACTTAAGTAAATGACCATTAAAAAATATGAAATTAAAGGATTAAACTTTGACCTAACACATATCAAAATACCTAACTTAGATATAAATACAACTACAGATGACACGTTTACAGCTTACCAGAAGACGAAAAAAATAATTCAAAATAACAAATAAAATCAACTGTTCAGAAATCTATGAAATGTAAAGCCCACTATAATATAACGTATCAAAAACATATTAAAAGGGAAACAACACCATAACAATTAAATCAGTAGACAAAGGAAATGCCACTGTAATCATGAACAAATAAAAATTCTCCACCAAACTCAAAAC